GCACAAAAACGTTGAGAACCTCATAAGCAGCGGTTCGCACTGAGGTTTCAGTTTCTGTGCGCGCAGTAACGTCCAGCAGAGAACTGACGGCATTGTTAAAGTGGGGGGTGATAGCGTTAGAAGAAGCGCCGAGATCACCGGCAAAACGCTCAGCCAAGTTCATAAGGGCCCAACAGCATGAGGGTGCCATCTTGGCGCTGCTGAGGAGACCCTTGAAGAGGGACTCGATCAAGGTGGGCAGTTGTGCCTGAGGATCAATGGCCTCGGAGCATGCCTCGGTGATTCTGCCCAGGGCATATGCAGTTGAATCCTTGACATGTAGGGATTGATCATCCATCATCGTAATGAGGATAGGCAGGGCCTGCTTGACGATAGGATCCAGGACCTTCTCGTCAGGACCCTCCATGATAGCGCCAAAAGCAGATACGGCAGCATCTCGGTTGTGCCAGTCCTCGTGACGTAGGTTACCCTCAACAAACTGAAGAACGGGTGTGATGATCGTAGCACCAACGGCCTGTGCGTACAGCTGCAGACACTGGTAAGCAGCGCGGGACAGGTTGTACTCGTCGTCGGTGGCGTCCTCGTCCTGCTTGGTGAGGAGCAGTAGGAGAACCGGTACGACTTCATTGGCAGCAACACGGGCAAAGTTGTAGAAAGGGCGCATTTGGTCAGAGCTCTCTACTTGGGCGTTGTCATCCTCGATGGAGATCTCCTCTTCGCAAACAGTACTCCAGAACTCAACAGCCAGCTTCGCGACATCCTCGTCATCGGACTTCATGCCAAGAATGGTAAGACCGAACAAGGCCTTCTCCATATAGAATCGCATGTTCTCGTAGTATAGGGCCATGATTCGGTTAAGGCAGCCAAAGGCGCCCTGTTGTATCCTTGAGTCGTCGGCTTGTGTGGCCTCGCAGACGACCTGCATGATGTAGTTTCGCTCTCCCTCGTGCTTAAAGTTGTTGCCGACAAATTCGAGCGAGTCACCAAGAGCGGTGATGGCAGCGAGGCGAACCTCGATGTTTGTTTCCTCCTTTCGGGCTCCTTGCACAACAGCAGTCAGAATAGCATTTGAGTGTGTTACCAAAGCCCCGCGAAGTTCAGCATCTTGGCTCTCGCAGATGTAGCCAATGGTGGTCAAAGAAGATTGCTTCTGGTGGTCGGCACCCTCGCTCACATTCTTGACAAGGAAAGGTAGCAGATCGTTCCACTGGCCACGGGGCAACTCGATAGCGGCAATAGAAGAAATGACCTGGGCGGCGGCAGTACCAGCCTGGGTGTTGGAAGAGTTAAGAGTCTGGAGGGTGAGCTCCTTGACCCTGTTCTTGGTCTCGTCGTCTGTTTGCTGGAGCCATTTCGCTTGCAATTCCTGATGACGAGCAAAGTCTCGGGTTGTGAAGGCGTTTTTGAGGGCGATACCGGCAGCAGCTCTGATGGAGCCATCGGCAGAGTCGTTTGCTAACTCTTGTACGAGGGTTGCGAGGTATAGGGGCTAGTAAATCGTCAGTCGTCATTCGAGTGGAGGGAGGATCAGGGGGGTGCCATACAAAGTTGCTCTCAGCGGCTTGGGTGAGTTGCTGCTCGGCAGCATTTCGCAGGTTCGCATCTGGAAAAGTTAGCAGTAGTTCCTTTCACTCGCAGATAACTGCTGAAGTTTCAATCGGCGAGGAGGGCGTGGGATACTGACCAGGCGAAAGCGAATTTGCGAGCACCTGGTTTATCTCTGAGCTCGACATTTTTGCGATTTAAGATCGTCTCGTCATGCGGTTTCGGGAGGTATCAATAATGAGTGAGGCGCAGAAAGGCGTAAATGTGTGAGAATGAAGAAGAAGAAGAAGGAAAAAATAGAGCCTTTGGTTAGGCGCACGTGTCGATAAGTTTGGCAGATGGAAGAGAGAACTGTTCTGGATGAGGCGGAGAGGCGGGGGTTTTTTCCCACGACGGGGGGCTCAGGCCAGGAGAGGAAAAGAACGGGTATGAAGGTCGAACGAGCTTGGCGGGCCAAAAACCGATGGAACGGGGCCTTGTTTGATTTGATGGGCTTTGAGATGCTTGATTGCTGGCAAAGCGGTGGTGAAGGAAGAGAAAGTCCTGACTTTAGACAAAAGAAGTGTTAATATTCTGCAGCTTGATGTTACAGGGAAGAAAAATTTAACCTCTTGGATCGAAGGTTTGATGATGACAATCGGCAGCCTGCTCCTGCCTTCGAAGTCGCTACCGCCACTTATTTCCACACTGTATAGCACTGTGCAGAGGTGATCTGTTAAAGGCGGTTATTTTTCACCAACGAGCAGCAATGTTTCGTGCCTGATTTGATGTCCGGGGGAATGCAATGGTAAGAGAGGCAGGCATATATTTAACTAACAGGCTGCAGCTATCGATCAGAGTGATAATTGTAGTGACGAACAGTACTGAGGATGTTGTGATTCATCGCCTGTAGTCTACCTGCTGATGCGTCACAGCCCTGAGCCTCACTGTGACTACTGTACTTACATCCAATACCTTTCCCTACCATACATGCATATAGGACCCCTCCACACCGACGGCCATGCCCTTCTTTGCCGCGGGACCTTGCGGCAAACGCTATCATACTTTCTTGGCTGGTGCGAATATAGCTGCAGCAGGTTTCGCTTCGTTTTGTTTATTATGAGACGATACATGAGACTCCGGGCTTCCATTGAGGTCTCGTGACCTAAGCTGCTTATGCACGCTGTCGCTTGTCTTGATTCAGGTTCACCTGGACTGTTGTTACTAGTTCCAATGCATAGGACCTCCACTATGAACGCATAATTCAAACCTGCTTTCATTACTTACACTGGGAGGCGGGGAAAACTTCGCTTAATCTCTAGGTCAGTAGTCGCACTGTACGCCTTTCATACAGTGCCCCGCGGTGAAGAAATTCACACCAGGCTTTGGCTCAGTACCAATGAAGAGCAAGCAAGGTATCTCCCTCCAGGGCTTCCATGTGAAGTTTGACAATTACGGTACTTGAGCCCAGGCAGCCAAAACAAATGCCATCCAGGGACAAACAGGGCCCTGGCTACCTTACCTTACCTTTTGGTGGGAGTTTAAAGTTAGGCATAGCATAGCACAAACCCATCCGTTCGAATAGTTCCTGCTAAAGATATTCATTTTATATTTGAAATTATCACTTCACTTAGCTCCCACATAATCTGATCACAGCCCCTTTCCTTTCTTTTAGTTTTTCTTTTCTTCTGTTTGTGTTGATTTCTTTTCCAAGTAAATAGTTCCACTCTTCCACGGCAACCAACGCCGCCAGCCTTGCCACGCTGGGTAACTCATTTATTACCCAGTTCCACGGCGGATGCAGTTTGGGCCGCTATCAAAATGAAGCTGACTTGTCAGATTCAGGGCTCATGTTCGATTTTCGCTTCGTCTTGGGAGTTGGATCTTCCATGTGTTTCCAGGGGTCCAGTCTGGGGAAATTTCGTTGCTTGGGCCCTGCTCCCGCTACTTTAGTACGCCATTACTTGTATGTTAATCACGAGAGCACTGACAATATCTGCTTCTTCTAACTTAGTAGCCGTTCTGTGATAGCCCAGTCTTCTTGTCTATTACTTTATTTTTCGTACCATGCCTGTTGGCTTGTTCTTAAAGTACGGTACACTGACATCAATTTGTTTTTCATGACTCGGTATTAAGCTTCACAGTCTCCTATCTGGAAACATTTGTGCCCTTCACAGCATCGGGGAACACAAGGAGGTCCACGGGCAGCTACTTGCGAATCAAACAACTAGGTACCTAGATCGCTGCTTGAAGTGGGCACGTTGGGCAACGGGCTTATCACTGCATAACTGATAGACTGTTTGGAACTGAGTGAACTGATGAGGTCTGAAGCTGTCTTGTTTGGCCTTGTTTGGTCTCTCCTCTCCCTGCTGTTGAAGAGATTAGTCAGGCTTTCAACCTCTGCTTTGTACTCTGGAGAAATGTCACATTGCCAGTGGAGCATGATTTTATATTCAAACTGCATTACTGTAAGACTTACAAGTCGTTTTTAGATAAATACCCTCTGTAGTTTAGTAAGTTATAGGTATGATTGCCTAAGAGTCCGGCCCTAGCTCAAGTAAATATACTACAGTCTTTTCTTTGTTGCCATACAAAGTATGTTCATTGTTGGACCACATGCTCTCAATTTAGTCGTAAGCTTTGCACAATGATACTTGTTTATGCTTAAACTTTGGAGGGAATGCAGAAAATCAACACAATAATGACAACAAGTCCCTACTCAGTGTTTCTCCTACCTGGGCCCTAGCCGTCTACTAAACAAGGGATTTCTATCCTCGTCTGCGAGAAGAGCTAGACTTCCTAGTCTGGTAGCTGTTTGAAAGCCTACTCGCAGGGCCCTATAATACAAGTCTTACAGGGTCGAATCAAGGAATTCAAGGTCGCATCAGATATACGATTGGGCTGGGTAACAGGGCAATGACATCTCGTGGTCCAGGGGTCAAATACCGGTGAGGTAGTATTGGAACACTGCTGACTGGTTCACATTTACTTTGTCAAGTCTGCGTTCCATATTGGTTAGACGTGGGTCTTGTAGAATGCCCCTCGATGGAGGGGTATGCACTAGGGCGGGAAGTCCGAAGACAATGAGGTCACCCGTCCACAGGTAGCCCCTCAATCACGAGACTTTTTCTTGCTCTTCTGCCTCCAGAGGAGCGTCTTCACGGCAAAATACGAGTATGATTATTCAAAAGACTTGTTCGTTATTTATTTCTTGTCATAAGTCGTAATTATGCGTATCAACCAAACATCTACATACATCCATTCAATCCCATACTAACTCATATCGTTTCATCCGCTGTATATGATTGATTTCGTAAATTCGTACAACCAATAGTTGCCCAATATGAAACATCATTCACGACACCAGTACATGTCTGTAGTTGCTTTGGGAATAAAGGTATCCATTACCGAAAGAGAAAATCTCTGCTGCCCTTCAAAAGGTGACCATGAGTGAGAACGCCAGTAAAAAAGTAGACTTAACGCAGATAGCCTCGGGGTGGGCGAGTGTCATAAAACGTCTCGCGTTCCGTTACCTCGTCCCAGCGAGGGTGGCTGTGCCGGTGACTATCGCGTTCATAGTCGAATTGGTATTCTCTTTCATACTCCAATTCTCTCGCCCGCTGCTTTCGAGATCGTCGGATCTCATCAGAGATGTCAACAAGGCGGAGAACGTCATCCTGCAAATGTTAGCATTCGGTCCTTGTCGTTTTTGGGGGACAACTTACGTATTTGAGATAATCCATGATGTAGTAGAACTCCTTGGTCTCCTCGTATTCATACCCAGAGCTCTCAATAGCCTCACGGATAACGAGGTCCTTGGTGATCTCAGTCCACATATCCTTTGGAGGTGGAGGTGCAGGGCGAGAACGTGATTCTCGTGTTCTTTCAATATCAATTTCCCTCTCGCGATCGTAAATGGAAACATTAACACGGTCACGAGTATCTGGGGGTGACGGATCCTTCAGGATGGGCTTTGGCATGGGCGCAGGGGCAGGCGAAGGGGCGCCATCCCTCTCAGGAATGAATTTGCTCTTCCTGGAACCACTGTACCTCGTCCAGTTTGTCTCGGTACTTCCACCGCCAACTCCATCCATGCGAATGCGCTCAGTGCCTGGAGGAACATCAACGAGGGTCCAGTCCTTGGTAGCACCGCCCCAGGCTTCGCCCATTCGGCCACGGGAGTCGATCTTGCTGGTGAGATAGTCGCCTTCCTCGTCCACAGCACTGGGTGTCGGCAGAGGAGCAGCTGAATGGGCTCGACGCCGGGTTGTTTCGGACTCGCGTCGAACTACAAGTTCGTCGTCGCGGTAGTCGGATCGTCGTTCTTGGCTTTGAGAACGAGTGCGCGATGTGCGAGTGACATCTACTTCGGTTCTGTTCTTTGACAAAGAGATGTCGATATCTGTCTCACGCTCTCGGACTCGGGAAGGAGCACGAGGCTGAGGCTTTGGCTGGGGAGGAGGAGTAGGAGGTCTAGCTTTGATCATACCTGGGGCCGTTAGCGTTTTGCATCGTTTGGTTAGAACTCCGGTTTGCTTACCATGGTCAATATCCCGGTAGTGGGTGATAAC